TTGTTTAAGTGACCACTGAATGAGAGCGTTTGTAGCTCCGGCATCAGCCATTCCCTGTCTGCACTGCATCCTTACTGAATACTTCCAGAAACATGCCCAGCATTTGAGGGGTCATAGGTCCATTATGGGGGATGTGGAGCAGAAAAATAAAATGAATGCTGCTAATTGGCTTACTTGAGCAACAAAACTTAGCAGTGATGGTCTGGTATCCTTCTACTATGGTCTCAAGCAGTCAGAGATCATTGAAACCTTAATACAGAACCAGAAATCACATGTTGTTAAAAAGAGCCTCTACTTCCTCCATCAGAAGGTCTGTCCAGCCATTTCTGCTAGAGATGCTGACAGTTAATGCAGGAACAGCACTTATGCTTTGTGCTTCAAGAATAAAATGTGGCAGCAAATGATGGACCTTTACGCATATCTTAAATATAGTATTCCCCCCTTATTTGATAATGCAGCATGTTAAGTTACACCATTTTGGTGGGTTGGGAATGAGTGACTGGAGTCCACGCCTGCAGGCTAGGATTGCTTGAGTTTTTAATCCCAAAGACTTTTTAGCAAATAACTTAACAGTCTGTGACATGAGATAATCCATACCTTTCTCTTCAGTAAGTAAATATATTGTAATGTCCGTGTAAAATAGGGGTGTTTTTTTAATTTACTAAAATATCCCTGATTGTGTTGACACTGGAGTGGCACACTGGTTTGGTAGTGTTGGAGTGGCGATGTAGCCATGATGATCCAGGAAGTTTGCAAGAGGGTACCCAGCCCGAGGAAAGGGAATTTATGCCCAAAAGCTAAAATCTCTCCCACCTCTGCCGTTAGTCCAATAAAGGATATTACCCATACAAATCCCTGCCCCTCGCATTGTCAATTGGCACATAAGGGAAACAGAAATAATATTCCATCATCAAATACTTGCTTTATTTATTAGGACAGGTGCAATTTTGTTTTTACTTTGTAAGGGTGATGTAGCCGTGATGGTCCAGAAATTATGGGAAAGGCAAGGATTTTTTGGGGTGAGGTTTTTTATTGGAGCACCTGTGTAGCTGGGCTAAAGTTAGACATGCTTTTGAACATAAAGCATTCTTTATCTTCTTTTGATAATTCATAGTGGAGTAGCAAATGCAGTCCTGCGTCCTGTAAAAGAAAGGACCTGCCAGTGCAAACTGCCCTTAATGGCACTGTCTGCCAAATATTTGCTGGGATGCTGGGCAAGACCTCATGGTTGCAGCCAGAATGATCAAGTTTGCATATTAGCAGAACGAGCATTAATGAGGTTCTGTGGGACATGGCATCTTTACAGCGTGCCTTTAAAACTAGTCTTGATGGAGTGTAAGCCTGTAGCATTTTATTTTTAGCTTATGCTTTTTTCAGTTGGGTAATAGGATCCTAAAAAAAGGATGGCCATTTCCTTTATTTAGCATTAAATAAAACTAGCTTGCTAATCAGTGTGGGAAAGCATAGGCTTCCCAGGTAATAGTTAATTTTGCCAGGGCCAGAGGATGTACTTCTAGTGCAGCACTCCCACTTTTGTTCTCGTTAAATCATTGAAAAGCAAAACTTCACCTTCCTGCCGTTAAGCGATGGAATGAAGTGTCACTTTTGTCATGTCCCTAGAGCCCTTCTTCAAAATCAGACTGTGCTGAGCCCTTCTGGCAAGATTAATAGCAGAATCAAAAACTAAAACCTTTCTGCTGGCTTTGCGTGAAGTGTAGGTAAGCACCAAATGTTTGGGGCATTTTAACGCATTTTGCCATATATACTGTCTACCCAAAACTATCGCTATGCAGTTTCCTCGTATCTATCTTGTGCATTTTCTATTAATTGTAGCAGTGGTCCATTGTAGCCCTGAAGCAAATACTTTAGAGAAGGAACAAAATATAAATGCAGGCTTCTGTGGTGCATTGAAGTAGCAGATAATGGTAAATTAGAAATCTGTCTGCACTTTGCTGGCTGGAAAATGTAACTAAAATTTGTTTGTATTGAGCTGCCACTCTTGTTTTCCCATCTCATCATTGTCCTTTGTGTGCAGCTCCACCACGAACAGCTGTACTGTCCTCCAAGGGTTACAGGCATTCGTGCCTGCTTGCAGACTGACAGCAGCAAATGGGATATGCAGACTCAGCCAGTCACACGCAGGAATGTTTTTTCCTTCTGTTGTCTTCCAAAAAAAAGATGATGAAGTAGCCCAAGGTTCATTTCATGTGTTTCCTTCTTTCCTTTCCCAGACAAAACTTGCCAATGGCACTTCCAGTATGATTGTGCCCAAGCAAAGGAAGCTGTCCGCGAGCTATGAGAAGGAGAAGGAGCTCTGTGTCAAGTATTTTGAGCAGTGGTCTGAGTCCGACCAGGTGGAGTTTGTGGAGCATCTCATCTCGCAGATGTGTCATTACCAACATGGACATATCAACTCGTACCTCAAGCCCATGTTACAGAGGGACTTCATCACAGCGCTACCAGGTATTCCTGCCGGACTGGGGGAAGGACTCTCCATCTTGTCTTTGAAAGAGCTGTGGCATTTGGCTCCCTTTGATACTGGGCCTCCCCGGCTGGCGAATTTTCTCCTGGGAGATGTTTTGCAAAGCAAGTGGCAGGTCCTTGAGTGAAAGGCTCTGTAGGAGTGCAAAGCAGTAGTAATATTTCATTCAGTACTTCTCCCGCTGTGATTGAAATACGCTGTAGATCTTGGCTGTATGTCAAGGGCGTACATCACAAGGAACAGAGCACGTGGCTGGGCTTCTGATGTATGTCTGAATAACAAAACTTTTAAACATTTGACCTGCCCCTTATCTTTGGTTTCTCTTGGAGCTTTTTTTTTCCATTCAGAATGGACCCTTCATTAATAATCTTTTCCTGTAGCCACTGATTGAAGTCTATGAGTTGCCCCCAGTGAAGAAAATATAGCTGAATAATAAGTGGAAGTGTTAATCTATCGATATTTTGCACCTCTCTCTGTCTTGCCTTTCATCTGTAGATTTTGATAACAGTTTTCAAATACCTGAAGGGTGACTGCAGAGAGGATGGAAATGGGTTTCTCTTTGGCCATAGGAGACAGTGGAAGTCTTAATTTAATGATATTTTGCACCTCTGTATTGCCTTTTATCTGAATATTTGGATAACAGTTTTCAGATACCTGAAGGGTAATTACAGAGAGGATGGAGCTGGGTTTCTTTTTAACCATAGGGAATAGTACTAGGAGCAATGGCCTAAAGCTGCAGCAGGGGCAACTGAGGTGGCACATTTGGAGGAACCATCTGACTTTGAGGGCAGTCGAGCACTGGAACAGGCTGCCTGGAGAAGTTGTGGGATCTTCATCCTTGGAAACTTTCAAAAGCAGGTTAGACACTTGCCTGGGATGGTTTATAGTTTCATAGTTGGTTGGGTCAGAAGGGACCTGAGCGGATCATCGAGTCCAACCCCCTGCCATGGCAGGAAAGAGTACTGGGGTCAGACAACCCGGCAAGGTGATTGTCAAGCCTTGTCTTAAAGACCCCAGCGATCGACCCATCACCACTTCTCTTGGAAGTTGGGTCCAGA